ATATTCAAGCAGGCCGCCAGATGCGAACCTCAGTATTGGCCAACTCCTGCAGGACCATGAGTGAGACTTCACACAGATTTTGCTGATCCAATCCAAGGAAAAATGTTTCTGATTATCGTAGGTGCATTTACTAAGTGGCCAGATGTACAGAACATGCCCAATTGTACAACATCAGAAACAATCCACAAATTGTCTTCCTGTCATAGGTTTCCGTGCGTTATGGTCACTTCGCCGAGCGTTCAAATCTTTTGACGAGGAAACGTTTCGAATTTTTTTATCCCACCTATGTAAGACCACACTTAGAGTACTGTATCTAAGCAGCTAGCCCGTGTCTGGTAAAGGATACTAACTCCCTTGAGCGTGTCCAGCGTGTGGGACCGAAATTAGTGAAGGGTCTTTCTAGACTCCCTTACGATGAGCGTTTAAAACGCCTAAATCTTTTCCCCTTGTCGTATCGTAGGACACGAGGTGACCTTATACTGGAATTTCGAATCTTTAATTATGATTTGGGTGTTAATATGTCTTATCTTTTTGCTCCCTCCAGCACTAATAATCTCCGCGGTCATAGCAAGAAGGTTCTTAAACCAAGATCTAATAAACTTAAAAAGCGGTCCCGTTTTTCTCATCGAGTAGTCAATCATTGGAACGTCTTGCCCGAACAAGTGGTATCACTTCCATCAGTGAAAACTTTCAAGGAGAAGCTGGACCTTCACTGGGAAACAATGTGTCAGGATTAACACAGGTTCATCAACCTACTATCCTTATTACTGAAGACTGTTTAACTGCTTCGGAGTCCAAAAGTCCTTAGTAAATGATGATGGCTTGCAATTCATCGCAGAATAATTTAAGTATTTCTGTAGCGCTAATTGAATAAGTCATCTTCGTCCTACACCCTATCATCCGCAGTCGAACGGACAAGTAGAATGCTTTGTGGACACCTTTAAAGGAGTAATATTGACAGGGAGAGGCTAAGGGACAACTGGACTGGTAATCAAAATTTTTTTTAACAGAACCACTCCGGACACGAATGTTCCAGATGGAAAGTCTCCTATTGAAGTCATGCACGGAAAGCGTATTCCGACCGTTTTCAACGCCATGTTGCCATCCAAATTAGTGCATGAGAAGTAAGTTTTGATTATTCTTGTTAATCAATAATTTTTCCGAACACTTATGAAAGACCAATGATTTAGTGATATTTCATGATCACTTACCGAAAGCTCAGTATCACTTTCAATGTGTTCCTAAAAAGCACATAAGGAACGCTAAATATTTGACTCATGAAGATATACCACTAGGTAAACTCTGGCTTTGCTTCATGTAAATCAGTTATGGATATGATGAATTGCGGAAAGAATTATCTCACTAATCAATTGAAATTGAACCCAGACGATTTTCTGTAAATTATCATTTAATATCAAATAAGTTGTAGGTTTGGATTTCATTGGCCACCATTCAATAGTGTCCATCATTTACACATGCACATCCTTGGACCTAAACAACTTATGAGTTTTAATCTAATGTTTGATCCGCGGTTTCATATTTTCCGAAAGGTAAGTGTGCGATCGTACTTATTTTGACGCTTTTTCTATCAATTCTTTGCTAGGTTGAGAGAGTTTTGGACGATTTAAAAAAGCTCAAAATTGAAAGGAAGAAGTGAAATAGGTCGACCTCAAGCAGTCCAACGAACAACTCAATATTTAGTTGGCTTCGTTTACGTGCTTTCATATTTTCTTTTCTATTTTGCTGATCATCAAATCAATGTAGATAGTTCTTTTTTACCGTGCTTTCGAATCATGTAATTTGATATACAGTCTACTATTTCTCAGAACAATCTTAAAAGCCGTTGTGATATTGTTTCGACAAAAAGTATGTCTTCATTATTTTATCAGATGCGATTCTCAATGAATTATATTTTCTATGGTATCTTTATCATAACTTTTTCATAGTGTGTTAAGGTACGACATAGTAGTTAAGGCTCTGGATTATCATCTAATGTTCTGCAGGTCGGGAACCCATTCCATGTACTTCGACTTATTCAGTCCAGCATCATAATTCTTTATAGGAAATCTGTGTCTCAAAGATTAGTACACAAACTTGTAATGAATAAACGAGTTTTATTTGGTCATTGCAATAGTTTTAAATCTTCTGAAGACGGATATAATACCAGTACTGATGTCCGTTAGCAACAAAAACTGCAGGGTTAAAGTGGTTCAATCAACTCTGGAAGTCTTTAGTGACTGGGTAGATGCTTAAAAAAATATATTTCGGCAGGTTTTAAACACAATGAGTTGATGCGATGTATACATGGACTGACAGCTGCTGTACAATTATGCTGTGCGACGAAAGTGATATAGTTGGAAAGATAGGGTTTATAGCTAATATTAAACAGTTGATCAGACTCATCATATAGCTAAGACTTCGGGTATCAGTTGTTAGTAAAGAGACTAAGAAAGACGATTCAGTAATGCACTGAAATAAAGGGACTTTGTTAATTAGAGATAAATTAAGTAATAGCTCAATTGACTTCCATCTACTTCAATTTTTCACTGCCCATCAACAATCTGAAGACTAACCAATAGAGAGGTAACAGGAAGGTCGGACTGATAATTTTAGATGATACTTCAACAGTTAGTAATATTGACCGAGATATAAGGTAGGGTCTGGATCAACTTCACCTAACTGGTAAAAGCTTATAACTTAGGTCCAGATACCCTGGATACATTTGACGTGATAATCACAATACCTGATTGTAAATATTAAGTGGTTTCTATTTATTTATGTAAACACATGAACATTGGTACAGGGAGGCACCAAATGTTTATGTGCCGCACTTCGTCATTCGACTTGTGTAAGGGCTGGAATATTGTCCGGGCGCGCAAACTGAAGCAGGTGGTTTTCTCAGGAGGTCACTTCCCGAGCCTTTGACCTAGAGGTCTAATCCACAAAGCAGTGGGGAAACGTCAGGACACAGTCCCACGGTCGCCGGTGGTCAACAACAGTTTCATACGCCAGTTTCCGTCCCGGGATCCTTGAGTCTATATGCACCACAGGTTTGGGATCAGGGTTCCCCAAATCCCCCAGATGGATCCTCCGTATCCATTAACACGAGTTTGCTCATATCCTGCTATACACAAGCATTTCACTAGAGATTTTTGGGAATAAAGACGGCTACTATTGCAATATGAAATGTTGGACCATAGTACGAGAAAAAAGATGCATTTTTCAACCCTACTGAGCAATGACGGTATCGAAGATTTTATCCTGGGTGACTGTTGTTTCTTGTTCATTCGTACTTAAGAAAAACGAAGTTGTGAGGTTGTAGACGAAGAAGTAATGGCCGTATGAGACCGGGATCAGTCGTCTCATCATTACTCTCCAGTTAGAGCTCTAGAGATTGTGCAATGCAGTGGTTTGAGATGTGCAGCTCTGACTGTCAGGTTTAATCTTTAGTCGCTTTGTCAATTTTCAACTGAACTGTATCGCTTACTGAATACTGTTTCTGTTCATTTATTAATGAAAACAATTGGTCGCTTTGATTTTTTCGTACAATGTCTTAACAAGCGCTAATGAGGTGTGGCAACTTGGACCGATGCATATGTGTGCCTGGTCCTACGTTGTAGCGGACTGACTTAATTAACAAGTATATATATGATCAGGTTGTTCGAAATGTATTGGAGGGACGTAATTCTGATAACCTTTGTACTCTGACCGCATTATCCATAATTATTTATTGATTGTACAACCTTACCCTCGTTTATTCCTACACAATATCGCTTCCTTTGTGTGGTGCATTTTTCGGAGTCGTGTTGTACCTAAATAAATATTAACATGAAGGCTAAACCACGACTTCTAGTTTACGACGGTGCATTTGTTTATTTAAAAGGTCGAAAAGTCCCACGAAAATACAATGCCTTTGAAACGACTAAGTAGTCGGTAGGGGTCAGGTGTGACGAGAATTTCGTTAAGACTTAACTATTAGCAATAAATGTGAGTTGCATGCACAATTCATTGAAACACACTCGGATTATCATTATCTGTTTCTTTCGAATCAGAAATAATACTGAATCCTACAACTCATCACCTAGAAAAATAATAGCACTAATAATTATACTAAAACAATCAAATTAAATATTGTTTATGATTATGAACAATGTATCATCACATTCGTGCTCAAAGAAAAATATCACTTCGATTTTATAGACAAAGAGAAAAACGAAAGAAAAAATCTTTAACAACTGAACGTAACATACACATGGAAATAAAAAATAAAATGGCATAAAACACATTAGATAATTTGCAAGATCACATAGTACGGGGGAAACTGTGAATTCCTTGAACCCTCTCGTCAGCCAGTCAGTTTCACTTTTAGTTCACTTGATGCTTACGAAATACACAAAATGGTAATTCATAGGAATCATGAGTCAGACAGAATTGAGATAATTCTTACCTATCCGAGTCATAAATCACAAAATACGCGATAGTACGGTCTACTCAATTAGACAGTTGGTTTTCTGTTAGTGTTACTTTATGTAAGCAAGAATTTCTCTAGAGTGAGCGAATAATATAGTAATGGGATTACTGATAGACTGCATGTGTTGAGAAACAAAATGAAAACAACATTCGTAAACGAGATTATCGATAATGAAAGATCTTTTGTTTTCTGTCTAAAACTGATAGTTCTGCTCTATTAATCAAAACGATAGTGCATGATTGGATGAAAATTGAGATGGATAAGTTAAATGTGTGTTGCTGGTGACTATTTTTCTCAATCTAAAAGAGACAGACAAAGCGTGACCTGACAGAAAGATTTTCACTGGTTAACGTAAGTCAAGAGAAAATGAACCATCCGAATTAGGGACAGGAGAAAAAAGCAATTCATATTGTGTACAGCGATTTAGGAGAAAATACAGTTATTGACTTGAAATCGTCTGCTGATGATAACAGCAAATATTATACATCTAAAGACTAACAACGCGTGATCTCCCGACAAACTTATCCTATCAGTAGTAAGCAGCTGATTGGAATGGGTCCGACTGAACGTCGATGGGATTTGGACTAAGTGGTTTTGATCCATTCTGTGATCGAATATGTTGAACTCGTCGAGTCGGAGTAAGAGCTCTGACCTCCGGTTTTTGATGTGCTGCAGGCATTTGTTGTCTAGAACTGTTTTCCTTATAAGTATTGCGTTTGATACCTTTGCTTTCAAGGCTTCTCGTAGTGTTAAATGAATGGTGATTATGGGTGCTCTAAAATGAGACAATTGAAAGCAAATCACAAAACTATTTCATCTTAGAACAAAAGTACATTAAATGGCCATGCTGCACAAATGCAAATGTCACAAACTTCATTGAATTCACAAGTAGACATCCCGAAAATACATATGATCAGCAGGATTACTTACAAGGGGAAAATAGAAAATTTGAAGCCTTCCTAGGAGGACTGATAAAGAACCCAATCAAAGTTGTTTCTATAGAGTAAACATCTTGCTTAGGTAGATTAAGACCACTGTACACATTTAGTTTTCCAATAATTTTGTAGTGACAGATTTGTGAGTTTGATAGTCTTACTTACATATGTTACCTTTCACACGAATACGCACCGCGGACTACGATTTTCCAACCAACTCTACCTTCAGCACTCCATTCCAATTGTTTTCACGTTCTGTTCATTCATTTAATGTCCGGCTTTAATTCCTGACACAAAGCGCTCCTTGACCTACCTTTTTTCCTCTTCCCGTCAGGATTCCAAGTTAGTGCTTGCCTCGTGATGCACTTTGATAGTTTCTTCAATATGTGTCCTATCCACTCGCAGAGTCTTTTCCTAATTTCCTCCTCAAATGAAAGTTGGTTTGTTTTCTGATACAGTAGGCTGTTGTCGATGGTATCCGGTCAACGGACATTGAGTATCTTATGTGGACAATTGTTTATAAATACTTGTATATTTTTCATTATGGTTGTGGTAGTTCTGCACGTTTCAGCTCCATACAATACAACTGTCTTAATGTTTGTATTGAAGATTCTGGCTTTGATATTGGTTGGCAGTTGCTTTGAGTTCCAGATGTTTTTCAGCTCTAGAAATGCTAACCTTACTTTGGCAATCATTTCCTTCACATCTGCATTAGATCTTCCTTGCTTACCAATCATGCTGGCCAGGTACGTATACATTTCCACCTGTTAAAGAGCTTCTCCATCAAATGTGATTTGGTTGCTGCACTCTGTGTTGTATTTCAGGATCTTGCTTCTTCCCTTGTGTATGTTGAGGCCTACTGAAGCAGAGACTGCTGCTACACTGACTGTTCTCACCTGCATTTGTCACTGTGTATGTGATAGAAGGGCTAGGTCATCTGCGAAGTCCAAATCGTCTAAATGTACACAAGCTGTCCATCGTATTCCATGCTTACCCTGAGATATGTAGGTCTTTATAATCCGGTCGGCCGCCATAAGAAGGAGGAAGGGCGAAAGTAACCAGTCCCATCTGACTCCGGTCCTCACTTGAAATGCGTCTGTCAGCTGTCCTCCACGCACAACATTGCAGTGTAGTCCGTCGTATGGATTCCGGATGATGTTGACGGTCTCCTTGTGTACACCAAAATCAATAACATCCGTGTATTTAGTTTCGAGTCACATTCTGTGTGGGGACTAATGACATCACCCGGCTCGTCAACCCTATCTATGTGGAGCGGGAGTCAGACATAAAACATAGTGGTTGAAAGTTGAACACCTGAACCACTTATCCACCATACCACAAAATTACAGTTTGTACTATATGAAGAAAATAGGCAATGTATCGTAGTAAACTTACAGTAGAACGTGTCCGTTTCTTGTTAAATGACTTTTCGATCGCACTTTTCGGCATAGTATCAAAAACACAAGACGGTTGAAATGGAGATTGAGCATTGTAATGTAATTGTACTTGTTGATGAATAATATTATTATCACGTAAACTATTACACAGGACAGCCCTCTCCTCAGAAGTAACTGGAATACAATCCTCATCAGATTCACTGTCAGTTGAAAGTCTTGAATTATAGCGTTTTCTTGATGTTTGTACAGTTTGTCCAACAACATCACTTTCATTGAACAGCTCTCTTGGTAACGCTTGTACACTAGCAGATCGTATAATTGGTGGCCACACTCCAGCTAATCTATCTATTTCATCACGAATGAGTTCATGGTCTTTACGTGAAACATGTCTATTGGATAACAATTAGAGAAGAACAATCCCAAGTATTTGTTTAACACACAAAACAAACAAGGATTTTCAAAAGGTTTAACTAATTAAACAACCGTACAATTCTTGTACTATCCAGCTAGTCGACAGAACATATCATTTTGCTGAAAATGTTTATTATATGGCGACTGTTACCGACTTTGAAGTGTGAAAAGTGAATTATATGAACATTCGGCTAATTAGACGAGCAATAATAGGTAAAACATTGTATGGTTGTGAGACCGATCGCCGTCAAATTGGCCTACAGAGCATGCGCTTGAGGGTGAAACCGGAGGTCATGGGTTTGATTGCCTGCTGAGAGGGTCGTGTATGTACACTTCTGAAGAACCTCATTCTAGGATAAATCTGGCAACCAGTGCTTTCACGTTTTCAATCGTTGTCTAAATCAACAATCTGCGCAACTCTATATTGAAAATGATGATTTTCTTCATATAGTATATCATTTATTCCCTGAGATTTTCAATGGTCGTTTTACTTGGAATGCAAGTATTGATGATAAGCGTTTCTCATTACAATAGACAATATTTACGTTGTACGGACTGATTTTCAAGTTGCAATACATTCTACAACATTATGATCGTACTGTTTTGATAGAACAATGAGAGCCCGAAGTTGATCTGAACAATGTGATGCATTTGCATTATATTATTTCAAACTCTGTCTTCTTAGCGTTCTACTGAAATTGATAAACGGGACCAATTGCTTTAAGTCGTATTGTTGACTTAATAAATATCATACTACTAATTACCGATAAAATAATCTGCATTTCAGTAGTTAAAGCATTTTATTAAATTTATGGAAGAAATCAACCAGTACTGAACAAAATGGAAGGCATTCAAGACAGACATACCTGGGAAATAAAGCATGTTGAATATGACGTATTCGTTGTCGAAATGAAACGCCATCAACGATCGATTCCAAAATATATCCAAATAGTAAATTCCCCAATACTATTCCATGAAGAATTATTACAAAATAAACTGAAGGGAAACGACACAGCTGGAAATAAAATAACAAAACTAATAACATCACATACAATCCGAAGAATCTGTCAGAAATGTAAATCATTATTCAGAAAACTGTCCAACTCTTTTATGAAATGTTTTTCAGAAGAGTCTCCTGTCTAGTAATCACACCCAAACCATTTGCACAATAAATACTAAGAAATCAGTGATGGAAAATGCTAGTTAGCATCATCCACAGTATAACACCATTAATGATGATGCCAATGGAATTCGAGCCCTATACATGAGTTAAAAATACATACTTTCGTTCAAATTAAACAATCAGAAGAATGTTTGCCAGCTATTTCAAACAGACAATCATTCATTCATCGAGAAAACAGGGAATGATTGTGGTTAAGAATTGTTAGGATGAAATTCTATAGAAAATGGATTAAGCCTTATATCAATAAACAAAAGGATAACAAAATAAAACTGTGGCAACCTAAAGATATATGAAAACAACAAAGCAGAAAATCACTTCTTTCATAGATTGCATTCGTCTTAGATCGATTTTTGTTGGAGTATCATTAAAAACCAGGAGACACTAGATAGCTGTTTTTGCCACGTAGTGGACATCTCAAAAGTGCGTACACATAAGCACTCCAGGGATCTAACCCACGACCCTCACTTCAGGTCTCGCGGCGAATGCATATAGTTTAAAAAGTAGAATGGCCAGTATATTGTTAATCAGCGAAAATAAATATAATTGGTCTGCAATTAATAAGGATAACCATGACACAGTGCTTCGTCCTTCACCGAAATCTTACTTCGAATAATTTGCGAACCACACGGGCTGGATGAGATGTTAAGTATAAGGACCCAGCAATACATGCAATAAGGTTGACAACGAATAAATCTATGGAATCGGAAAGTCATAGAGAAAATGACAATTGCGCATTAGTTAAAACCACAGTGAAAAAAATATCTGCCTAAAATTATCAACATATTCTTGAAGTTTACGCATAATATAACCATTTATTACATGCAACAATATGCATATTATGATTGTGATTAAAAGAGAAATCCATACTGTTTTCTGTCTTGATCTATAGTAAAGACAAGGAGAACTTATGGAAGTTGTAAACAATCGGAGGATTGTGGCTGACAGTGGAATTTAGAGCACGCATTCCGTCCTCCATGGCACTCATCAGCTGGATATACCTGCATCCCAGTGTTGATCTTCACACTGTCACTCGAACACAATGCCTACGCTTCAAACGCTCAATCCGATATGCACTGAGCTAATGAGTCAAGACAGTTACAATTCAAAAGTTTCACACATTCCAATTCCGGTACGACTGTCCTGATTGACACATCAGATCACAACGAAATGAACATATCATCTATAAGAAAATACAATAGTCTTAGCCAATTATCATCTCTCAATTTTTTTCTTATGATCCTCAAGGAGATTGTCGTAAACAACTGAACTCCCATTAACAGTGATTGTTGTGGTGCAATGATTAACATCGACTAAGTTGGAAACTTGCATCTAGTCTAAATGAATTGTCATTGCATAAACTGTCTTCTGGTATTACAAACAATCAACCGGAAACACTAAACCTAGGTTTCGTATTAGCTGGTGGCAGTCGTCAGAAAACGAATTCATTGTTAAAATACCAATCCAATCATGAGAGGTCAAACAAATAATAATAATAATAATAATAATAATAATAATAATAATAATAATTTGGACAATATAAGACAATAACTAGAAAGAAACAACTTACGATTAGAAAAAATTGACCGACGATATGGTGCAGATTTAGAGAATACAATAGCCAATATGATATATTGATAGACAGATACGGAGAATATGGCTGTACTTTCATAATTTTTTAATTCATAATCTTCATGATAAGTAAACAGTGGTAAATACCTTCAATGAAATAAAGGATAATGATGATAGCAATCAAAGGAGTTGCATGAAGGGATAACGTGCTTTAGAATGAAACGACCGCTCAATCAACCCATAAAAGTCTGTCCACACATTAACACTACCTAGCGGATCATCGCTAACAAGACATTACAAGTAAATAATAGTAGTCTATATGTTCCTTTATCAATATTCCAATAAGTCTTAAATAATTTTTGAAACAATATAATACATCGATTTGATTACAATTATCAAGTTAATGCACTAACAGGTGTTTAAAACAGATATCAACGCAACAACCAATACAAACGGATGCTACACATAAACATCACAACATTAGAAACATATTCACTAACCATGGTTGTAGTCGAGTAAACACAAAGACTGAAAATTGTACAAGACCACAAGTGAGTAACTGCAAACCCAATGATAACAAGGTCACAGTTGACACTAGTCGCATCGCAGGAGGTTCCACCGAGAGACGAGGATACGCCGGAGTATAACCAACTAATGAAAAAAAACCAATACATTTTTTTAAAGAAAAAATAACCAATAAACAATATTCGTGAAATTACGGAGAATGACCATTGTATCATTTAAATAATCTAGGCTAGACCACTTGCATGAAAAAAACTGCTTCATGAAACGTGACGTTCTGCATACAAACAAACGTTCTACACCAATCAGGTCACATAAATGATTTTCTCGTTTTGCAACTATGTCTTGACTTGACACGGTTCTCTTTCAGTCTTATTCCTGCTACTGTTACCTGGTTGTCATGTAAAAATATATATGCTGTACGTGTTTAATCGACTTCTCGGGACAATCGACAATCCAACATGAACAGCATTCAACAGTATTGCAGTATAGAGAAATTATGCCGTTGAAAGTGATTACATTTGTATTTACCACACGAACTCCAAGGAGATCTATCAAAACAGAGTAGTTGTTCAACCTGAACACTAACAATCATATACAATTTTAGGATCACGTTCAAATCCAATTGAATTTAGTGACGTGTTGATGAAAGATATTAATGTAGCTTGGATTAGCTTGTATTTCTAAAATAAAATGAACCCAACCTCAATAAGTAAATAATGTCTGGTATTGAGAACATGAAGACATTGCAGGGATTATTTTCGATAAGAGGGAAATTCGGTTGAAGAAACCTAGTGTTAGTCGTGAAATCTCAATGACTTCCGAATCGATAGAGAGAAACTAAGGTGAAATTAAGGAAACATAAATCAATCTGCTTATTCATATAAGGTACGATAGTTCGAGTAAGATCATCTATTCGTGAGGCTTTAAGTGAAATATCCAATTGTAGATCAGAATAAATTATCAACCTGAAAAATCAATAAAGTTAATGTTGTCAGCATAGTGAAAACAAGGATTGTACGTAGACAAAAGTGAGATCCCAGGTTCCCTGTTGTCTACATCTAAACATCCAACATAGCAGGTTAGGAGAATATTTAGTTGACATTTTTTATCGGTATAGGGTTGAGAAGATCATTGAATGTTTCTCGATATCACGCTCGTGATCGAACGTCCGGAGTTGGATTATCGGTTGCAGAATCATGAATGAGCACTCTTAAGGAGTCCCATACTAGAACGAACGAACATCCAGTGTTCCTGGGTTTTCAACGTTTCTTGTACAAGTGTTACCGACTTATTGAAGAATACGGCTGATATTATACACATCCCCACATTCATGTAACAGTAAAAAAACATAGAAACATATCGACAAATTGTTTGAACTGAACTTTGAAATCCACCATGGTATTCATACACAAAAAAAAGAAAGCGAACAATCACACAGTCTAAAAAAAATGATAACGGTAAGTAACCTACTAAATATTTTCAGTTTTCTCCAACGGCTGGACAAACAAACAAAAAACCAATAAGATAGGTCGTGAAGAAAAACAAACAAATTCATTAAAGAAACTTCCGACATCCGAATTAAAGTTATCTATCAACCCAGACAGAATGAATACCAGAACACCGACGTACACTATTCAGTGTATAAATAAATACTTTCTCAACTTACACGTGAGACCCAGAGTTGTGATAAGGAAAAGGTCGATAAATAAAAATTGCAGGTCAGAAATATTACTGCCAATCTGGTGAGAAAGATGGAAAAAAAAAACGAAAAAATGTAAGAAAAGTACCACTACAACTACCAACCACAACAAAATGATCAAAGAAAACAAGTGCTTAATTTGTAATCGGAATTTATTATTTTGCTTCGTTTACAAATTGCATTATTTTTCAATTTATGAAACAATACGTCTATAATTATAATTCGTCTAAAGGAGTGAATATTTTACTGAACACTATTAATACCTACTTAAATTATTTGTCTTGATTTACAATCTGAAATGAGTATAAATATGCAAATAAAGGGCGGCCTGCTTGAGCATCTGGGCTACCTGTTCCTGTCATCTAGATATTTCAACAAGTAATCTATTTTTGTTTGTTTTAATATATCATTATGTTTATTAATCGCATAACCTATTCTGATGCGTTTCTGAAAAATGTACAACCTTTCGTTGTCAAAGTTACAAAAAACTCAATAAGAGACAATGTGGTTGCTGGCAATATACAACGAAAATAATGTACATTATTCAGATGTTCATTTATTGAACTGCTAACATCTAACTGGCGATCACTCAATATTTATCGCCATGACCGACCAAGAAGAAAGAAACGGAAACTTGTTGAAATACTTTGCGCTGAGAATTCTATATTGTACCAAAAATATAACATTGAATAAAGCTGATGATAATAATAATAATAATAAAATACAAGGTATATTTAGGTATAATTCAGGCACACGGTTGATGAATTCATTCAACACATTATTCATGGTATGTACCAGTCAAACACTGAGTTGGAAGGGAAGTCTATAATCATACAGCAATGAAACCTAAGTCTTCTTGCTGTTTGCCATCAGCGTCAATCTATTTGAATTCGTCAAACGGATTCGAAATGTGTTCACGAAGGAATCAACAGATAACAAAACGAATGAATCTGACTGGTGGTTGAGAACTCTCCCCAGTAAGCACTATCAATACTATTATTATCACTACGATTGTATTCAAAACAACCGTTTATTCAACTCCCAGATAAGAACAATTGATCTTACACCAGCGCTCACACTTTTTCGAATTCCAGTGATGTATAGACAGCATTTTATCGTTTAGAGCATTTGGCTTACAAGCAATTAATAGCTCGCTCGAATCCTACTACATCACGTCAAATTTAGAACCCTGGTAGCATCACCGTCTCTTACACAAACATTACATAAACTGTTCAGTGCGATTACCACTGTAAATATACACAAAATAGATTGAGTCTTTTACATACAAATGATCTTTGGAGATAGACCGATATTGACTACAAGGAAACCGTGAATCGCACAACACAAGTAAAAACACGAGAACAGTAGATAAGGATTTATGATATAAGAACTGCCAAAGTTCTACTTGGCACTAATTAATCTAACAACATGATGTCTGAAAACTAAATACCAGTAAATAACAAATAGAACTAATTTACTAAGTCATGAAATCGCTCCTACTTAAAACATAATTACAAGTCGTATACGACTGGAAGGAATAACTTCAGCAGGTCACTCACATGCCAATCAATATAATACGTGTAAAACAAATCAATATACAACTGGCAACCTGAATTCACCTAGTAAGCAATCAGCGATTTACCCAGTATAGTCACATATTTACTAACTAAACTTTATTCCAGCCAAAACAGTATGGTGATATTGACGTAATGATCGAAGCAAAGCAGATAATCAATGAAAATGAACAATCATCTGGTGGCTCATTTATAACTACGAAAATAATACTCAAATGTGGTTATGGAAATAAATAAATAGAGATTTTAAACATAGATCAAGTGTGTAGAGTTTCAGTTTAAATACTTCCATATCATAGTCAATGCAGGAAACTGGAATACATATTAGAGCTCTTCCTATTAATTACTTCTCTTAATAATGTGATTTTACCAGGAAAAAACACATTTTGTTTTGCAACTTTTATGTATCCACTCCTTCCATTGTTTGATTGTCCAATTCACTCTTACTAATGCCATAGAAATTCTACTATTTCTACCACGAAGAAACACGCTTGACTAGAAAGTAATTTCAATTACTACACAAAAGTATTTGACGTGGAATCACATAAGCGGATTAGAAAACAGTAATATATATTATATACCAATAACAATGGTTGAACCAGACTAACATTTATTAAAAAAGAATATTCTTCGTTTTATGTGTTTAAACAATAGAAGGTAAAAAGGAATACCAAAACCAAACTTACATAATATAAAAGTATAACAGAGAAAAATTGAATCATTGAATAACCGACCATAAATTTAAATGCACCAAAACTAGTAGCCAACGCGCAACGACCTTCACGAATAAGTGTAGGCACACAACTAATATTTTGTTGCTTCGATGTGAAAGGACTAGCAACACTGGCTTCAGCTTCGCTTAATGCAATTCCAGCATGTGCTACTTTCAATGCACCACAATCGTTAGCGCCATCACCACACATTGAAACAAAATAACCAACTGATTGAAGTGATTCAATCAGTTGAGCTTTTTGTTCCGGACGAAAACGAGCAAACACAGTACCCTTCACTACAAGCTGAGAAACGCACACACAGAAAGAAAAAGAGAAAACAATCAGAAACAAATCTAAACACAACAGTGCTATTAACATTGAAATGCTCACGCTTCGAAACCAAAGATATATTGCAAGGTGGATAAATCTCGAAAGAAACAGGAAAAGGTATACAGAAAAGTGTAGTAAAAAACTATCATTTCACTTCTTGTGCTGTCCTTACCAAGCATTCGGTAGTCCAGATCATCATTCAGAGAGACATGGTGAGATCTGATCAGTTTAGAACAAATGAAATAGATCTGAAAATCGTGAGACTAATCAAATACAACGACGTTTCGCCGACCCAAATTTCGGTGAAAAATAAAGTATTTTCATAACTACAAGTGGACAGACTACAATTGGCTGATAATTGATTAGTCACCGATATCGTGTCTGTCTAGTCCTTTGAGTGTTGAACAAATTCCATCCATGACAATCCGAATCCCACATAGGGAACCAGTACTCTCAGGTGCACCTCGCAGACAAGTGTTAGTTAGCAAGAAACCCAGGTCAAAACTTTCTTATCGACTACCTCCAACCACCAAACATCAAGTGGACAATTATTTTTAGATGCGTTAACAAAACGCCACCACGTCATAAACGTATGCTTACTGAGTTAGTACTGTTGAAAAAATACTGTGTATTACATTGACGTAAATGTAACTATGTACACACTGTAAGATGTGTGGATATCAAATTGAAAATTGGGTGTTTTCCATTTCGGTAAAACAGCACAAAACTTGTTTGTGCCACTGCACTTTGTTATCACACTGTTTTGGTTGTACATTGAATGTATTTTGCATAAGAAAGTACACAAAATTAAAGACTAAGCACTCAAGTCTGTTACAGTGATGAAGTGTTTCAAACAATAAAAGTCCAAACATTGTCTAGCGACAAGTACACAAGGCTGAACATGTATATACGTCATACATTATTTTGATATCTCTGCATATCAATCCACATAATACTTTAGTTACATAAAACACGTCTGCTGTGTGAATAATACATTTCTCTACACAAATGATAGGAGGTTTGAACTTAACACCTAACTAACGATCATTAACCACTACGAGTTCACCTCAGTGAATTAGTCGAACGATTATGTCCACTTTAAAATTACCTTCGATATACATTGATAATCTCATTATTACTCACCTTTGGTATAAGCCAAGGATAATATTCTCGTATGATCGCCCACGTTTACCAGACATAGCTAGGTGGAAATCAGGTCGATCGAGCATCCGTATAGATACAGAATGAGTGGGATCCAAACGACGACTTGATACCGAATGCAAATCATCTTTCGAATAACATCCATTGCTTCTTATTTCATAATGGTGATGTTCTCGTTGACCGGATGAAGAAGCACGAGGGTGACCATTCACTGAAACATTAGGCACCGCAGTTATATCTGTCAGTGGACTTGAAGACGGTGAGGAATGCTGTTCACATCCCCGTGAACTGAGCGAAAATCAAATTAAAACAAACAAATACACACAAATAATAATCGTGGAATTTAAAGATTTAAAAGTATTCCTTAAAAAAAAACACAATTAATGGATAGTGAGACATTTGAGTTGTGAATAGCTTCAGATCACTGCGGTCACACCAGAACACTAGGGAAACGTTATTTGACGAATTATTAGTTCGGTGTACATATCTTCAGTAAACGTAATCCAAGTAGTTGGTTAGTCGAATAATGATTAACATACTCAGCTTCAATCCATACAGTTTGTGGCAAACGTTAACGAAGTTATGTGCAACGGAATTAGAACTGTCCACCAAATAGGTCAAACAGGAATCTATTAATCATGAATCCATCGTTCCGTAGGAGAAATCGTTCAGGCAGATCTATAGAACTCAATAGTCAGGATGATTATGTCATGAGGTCTCGCATCTAGTTACATAATTTCGAACTGTCATACAATGGTGAACGGAAATCTGTGCAATGCCTCCAATGACTTCAGATCACCCAACTTCTAGTAATTTCAACAGCATCTAAACCATAAATCCTTATCTACTATGTTGTAGAAACAGATGCAGGGTTTTCAGATGTCACACGATCCAGCTTAGTTCAAGGTTGAGTGAACACTTCTGAAATTAGTGATTGAATTATGATCGTTACTTGCGAACTGCCCTGTTTGTCAACTAACTTTTAACAGTATCTGTGAACGCACAATTGTACAATGCAGATAAGTTTAATATCGAAATATGGCTTGAAACAGGAAGTGAGTAATCGTATGGTTGACTAAGTACTCCATACAGATAGTCAAAAAACTAAATAGAGATCAAAATGTAGAACATCCCAACTGATTCAAGATGTTATTCACGAATAATCCAGTGCTGAGTTGTTAGCATGCAACTTGAAGCTCAGAGATTTCAAGGTACAAGTAAGGTAGAAATAAGATCTGGTAGTCAATGTTGGTCAACAAAAGTAATAACATTTACTTAGGCTGTACATTCGAATTTATAGTTGTTTGGTAAATATATATAGGTCTATAGAAAGATGGAAAAATACCACGCAAATGGTTCAAGGGCTATGTTAATGAAGAGGCAATTATAAAGCGGATATATAGGTAAGGTATACATAGTAGAATGATCACTGATGACGTGGTTCCTAGAGGGTTTTCTAAACAGTCTAGATGAAAGCGATTACATTTACATAATGGAAAAAATAAATATTGGTTTAGTAGGAGATTTTCACAAATGAATTCATATGAACTTACACACACGGAACATCTTCACACAAGCGATGCATCAATTTTCGAGATTTCCTACTACTCCTTACAGAGAATGTGTGCGGATCAACATCAGTTTCAGTCGAAGTATTATTAACAGGTTGAGATCTATGAGACTTCCTCGTTGTTCTTGTTTCAGTTGTAGCTGTCACTTCAGTGACTGGTTTGTGTAAATCTTCAGCATAATGAAATTCAACTAATGAATCGTATTGTTGATTGAAGAAGTTTTCCTCAAATAAAGAATTCGCTGCATTAAAACTTGAGTGTGTACGTGGTCTATTGTTGTTTCTTGTTCCTTGTGATTGTGTCAACGAAACAAATGGTAAACTAACATGATTTGAAGAAGTATGACTGTGTGGTTGATCACTGGGTAGATCAACTTTGGTAGAACAAGTTACAGAATCATTCGGACTAGATGATTGAACATGACGAGGAAATGGTGGTGGTTTTGCAGACACAAGAATAATACGATCCAGTTCATCGATCATCTCGCAATCTCGAGCTACTGACAATGCAGTCAACATACTATCACCTAAGTAAGAAGGTTGAATGATGAGCAATAATACATTTTGTCAATTCATATTACCAACAAACGTAAATTAGAATTGACAAGAATTATTAATTTATGAAGTTCCATTGAGTCACAAAAATTGAAAGAAAATCATGTAAACTATTTCAATTTAATATTCATTATAATCCTCCACCATACCGATATTATGGTTAACTGGAATTCTTGGAATAAGACAATGAAAAAAGCACCACATTAGAGAGACACTGTTCACTAAATATGAGCTTAGACAGATAACAGACTCAAGCATGTAGCTTATTAGTGTGACCGTGACAGGCTAATTCGATATGCAAAGGTTAAAATTCAGATACAAAATGATAATAATAATAATAATATACTTTGGAGGTCAACAATACATTTATACAGATTTAGAATATTCCAAGTTCAGGTTCAACGTCTATCTATATAGACTGACGTTAATAACTGTTAGAGAAAATAATCTAAAAAATCGCTTTCAAGAGAAATCACATTGAAAACAATCACACCAATGAGAAAGAAACGTACCAGTTACCATTACAGGTCGAATATTGGCATATCTTAAAGTTTCAATCACTTGAGTTGTTTCCGGTTTCAAACGGTTCTCCATGATCAGTAGACCAAGAAATCGTAAATTCTGTTCAACGCGCTCCCTAGATACGTGTAAAACTTTTGTATAGGTTGCTTTCAATGGTTTCCAAGCTAACGCTAAAACTCGATAACCTTCACGTGTGTATTCCAATAGAGTAGAATGGAAATCTCTAGGTACTAAAGAACAGAAGAAAACAATAACTGAAGTTCTCTAACAAACACAACTGATATACAACTTTATCAGGGAGTAATCTAAAGGCAACATCAGTTGAACACATTGACATTTATTTGAATAAAACACTGTGTTTTAATATAAGGATTAACAGAGAATTGAAGTTACCAATAAACGTCTGTGTAAATTAGATATTTGTTCGATGAAGAGAGAAAACTTTGAATGTTTTGGTTCTAGTTAACATTTTATTCTAGTTCCAGTGTTTCGCTAATGACTGTACATTTACGAAAAATGACAATATAAAGGGATTTTTGTACTTATAGTAAAAGTAAAGTATAGAAACAACTGAATCACAATCGAGAATGCAACTGTCAGGCTTGTTTTAATCTGTTCCCTGTACTTTAATCTCGGCTAAAACTTATAAACAACACACTAAGTGTAGAGAATATTGAAACTCTTCTAATAAAATAATCTAAGAAACAAAGAAAATCAACAACACAGTAGCTATGCTAGTTAAAATAGTAATAGCGATAACAACAAAACGACAAGGTCTAGAATAAACGCAAAAATATAGTAAAGAATCTTCAGAATTTCAAAAGATATTGACAACACTATATTGATAAAAACATATAATAAACTTTTCTATAGAATAAAAGAATTCCGGACTCAAATAGGTTTAATTAAGAAAAGAAAAATATTTTAATCAGGCAAAACGGAGGTCATTGGAGAGAAATAAACAGTTATTTTAGTACAAGATAATGTGGTAAACAGAACTATGTACCTATATTTTTTCTTGGAAAGAAAACTCTGAAGTAAGCATTTATATCAAATACCATTTACCAAAATTAAATTAAAATTTTAAATTCATTCAAATCAATAACCACTGAAGCCTAAAGAAAATAGCACTAAGCCAGAGTACATTCAATCCAGAACGAAGCTAGGTGTATGCTTCATTCGAACAGAAACGAAGTCCTATTTCATTATTCCATGCAGGGATTTTCAGGCTCATAGGCCTGCTTTGAGCACTCAAAGTAGAGATGCCGTCCGCTCTCGACACCCGTTTAAAAGCATCCGGAAGCATACCGACAAGTCACTACACCGAGCAAAACATCGGTCCTGATCATACCTAAAACAGTGAACAAGAGATGGCATGCGACCGCACGACCCAGATCCAACTACGAGCATTTTAACTAAGCAAATCTAATATACTATTTTGAACCTGGAGTTACCGCGGCTGCTGGCACCAGATCAATATACAAGCAAAACTAAACAAATAAATCAATCATTCGATTGAGCAGGAAAACGATCCTAATTGCTGGAGGAGATTGTAAGTCTGAACAGTATCTGAGTGTCGTCTAACTAAGTTTAGCGACTACACTAAATAGTGAGAGTTGCAAACAACCAACCGACAAATGTGTATACATTGATCTTGTACGACGTCAATCAGAATGTGAATATTTCATATGCAAAATGTATGACTATGCTTGTGCAGAACTAGAATTTCTGACTGAAAGAAACACTGCTGAACAAACAAATATTCCACTTAGAAATAGAAATTCCATTCAGTTCAGTAATGGTTTCAAAATGTATAATACAAATATTTTGCTACAGCATTGGCCTGTGTCGATTTTCAATCTGATCACAGACAGTCAAGTCGTAGATTGTGTCCCGATGATTTCATTTATCGAAGGATGTCATATATCTTTGTGGGTTGGTGTCTAATGAAGTTTGAGAACGAAATCAAAAAGGTCAGTTGGCTTTTATCACCAAGTGTCACCTGTGGCGTGAGTGATAGCTCAGTCTTCCACAAGAAAAGAGTATAGTGAACACTGGTTTGTTTCGCACCATTTAATGGCTATGAAACGTGGATACTCAAAGAGGATGTCTACAGGTTACCAGTATTTGATTATAGATGTCTTCGAATACTGAATTTTTTTATTTTACGACAACCGAGTGAAGGATGCCATAGTTACGTACTCGGTAACCGACCAAGATAGTTGTAACATGTCTTAAGCTGCCCAGCAACCCCCTACTTCGATGTAAGATGTTGGATAGTATAACCAGCGGCTGTCAAATTGAGAAGTACGTTCAGTCCACGAAGTCATTGACTGTTGGTCTCAGACACGTTGGTAGGTGCATACAACCTGGTCGGCACAATCAGTGGTTAAAGATGCTAGATGGAATAACTTCGAATCGCTTACAGAGGTCAACATACACCGTTACGTTTTCAGTTTTCAAACGATTAAATACATTTTGTCACACGAATTCAAGAAACTTTCTTGAACAAGATTGTACACGCCAAATCATCTTACTGTACATAATGTTAATACCACTTTGGTATACATATTTATCATTTCGTCTCAGAGTGTTAAAATGGTGTCGGAAATTGTGTTGAAATATATTTGTGTTAGGTTTAACGTTGAATATGACTGACCAGTTGTATTAACATTTTAAAAAATAATTCTTGACAATATTCACATTTTACTTACTAGTATCACATCTGCACAATAATTCAATAGTTTCAGGTGCACCTTTAGTATAGATATTGAAATGATTTTGATTGAGAGCACGAGTAATCACAGACATACGTTGTAATGAAGAACTGAATGGAAATTGCCGTAAAATACCCACTTCATATGGAATATCCTACAAGTGTATGAAATCAGGATTTTCAATTTCAATAAAAAGCATTTTTATAGAACAGAGAAAAGAAGGAAGTCGTAATTCACTCAGCTGACATGCAGCAACCTCAAACTCTAAAAATATTATAATCTATTGGAATAAGCTAATAATCCATCTATGCTTTCCGAACACTATAAATATTGTTTACCGAAATCACCTGCGTTGTATTCAGATATTCACTGTGTTTCAGCATTACTTTAGGTGATTTCATACCGTAAGTCTATAAGGGCAAGTAGTGACCATGATACCCAATTCCAATAAGTTTTAGGATGCCGAAACATAACAACAGTACTTGAAAATAAGTTTGATCACTAAAGAGCTAAACCATGAAACCGTATAAACGACCATTTTGTGAATACCTAAGCAAACTATGTCAAACCAGATACCTTAGTAGCAACAATTGACCTTCATTTAGAGCTTAAGATAGTTAACTAAAACATGATTGGAAATCTTTCTTAATAGAGGTGAAGGCTTCCACAACGCGACAGAAGTCAAGCCCCATATTGGTCTTTTACTTACAACTACACTGATTCAATGGATGGGAATCAACATTCAGCTTAAATTATAGTGAATGATGCCACCAACATTCAATGTCTCCATAGATGTGTTTTTCAAGTACATCTCTATAAATTAGATTATCCAAAAACTTTGTAGACCACTATAGTGCCACATGTATGCCTGCTGATATAGGAACGTCAATGTAGGTGGCTTTTTAAGACAATCAGTTAAATGAACGACAGCGAAAAATAGTTATCGTCAACATCCCTCCTCAAAAAATGTAACATAATTGAGAACCGTTACTAATCTATAAGTTATATCACACGAATTGCGATTAACAGGTTTTCTCTGCCGAAATCCTCATTTTGTACATATCCCCAACAGACTTTCATGGAGTTTTATTAATCCAGTTTATTCTGATGCTATTTCTAACACACTAAGCAGTCTTGTTTCGCAGTAACATTCAAAGTGTACATAAACAACGATCCTAGGAATTCATTATCATCTCGTTGCGAAAAAAAGTATTCCACATTCAAACCTATTTTATTTTCATGGTTTGGGACTTAACTGCAAAAAGAATATTCATGGTTAATTTTCTTAGTATGAGTACAAGTTTGGTTTAGTCTGACTTTGCGCAATTTCAAAAACTTACTACAGGGTGATGGCGTATCGCGAAACTGAATAACTGATGTAAGTCGACAATTAACTGATAATAGACGACAAGACAGTTCAGTAGAACAGGGCAACAAGGACCAGAGCAGTTGCTATGTCCAGCACAAAAATCAACACTACTCCACATTTCATCATCAGAACATATGTCGATTCTCTCTCTTAGGTTGGAATAGTCGGCATTTTATATCAAGTGTACAAGAAACGGTAGTGTAAAAACACCAACTTAACTATATAACATGACTTACATCACCATTGAATTTTTCAGAAATCTTTTCCGTCAAACTGGTTTTACTAGATGGACGTACGATAGCAGGGACAGCCATTTCAAATTTACAGTGATCAGCAGCTTCTTCAATGAGTTCCTGACAAAAACAACACAAAACGAAAACGCGATCGACAAGCAATTTGTTTACGTCAATAAACATGTTGTTGAAGGCCTATAAACATACATCCTTTAAACAAGCTTTTGTGATATTTTAGAAAATACGCCTCAATATACCTAAATTTGTATTTTATCGAAATATATTTGATAACTAGCGGAAATAAAATCCGGAAATCCAGTCTCATACAGTTTCAGGATCATTATGTTGTATGTTAATCTACCACAAGGCTTAACAAGTCAAGGTTGTGGAATCTCCTTGCTTCAAGAATTTTCCAGTCAAACTGATTTTGAATGACATCCTGGTTTTCAAAAAGTAGTAAACACACAAAAGATAGCTGAAACCATCGGTGGGGTCACAGTCAACTACGTTCAAAGTCGATCGTTTTCCAAACCCTCATTCTGTCGGCGGGAACACACAGTAAGAACCTTCATGCCTGTACCATAAATATCTAGTAGGTTAATTCACATGTTATGATGTGCGAATCTGACAACGACCTTAAAGTAACTACGACATTTAGGTTTCAGAGAAGGAAAAATTGTGAGTAGAAAAAAAACTAGAACCATCTACAATCCTTACCCATTTAGTTGACTGGAACATCTTTAAGTCCAGAGGATCTCCACACAGAACTCCTTCAATCAATGTCAATGAGTGACAAGTCGCTAAACATTCCATTAGAGGACCATTATCCAACTCTGATGGTTCTAATTCCGGATCTGCAAACAAACCATCTTCATAAGGAATGATACCCCACATATCCAAACCATCTTCCGTTAAAGTGCCCGTCTATTAAAAATCATGAAAAAACGGAAAACATGTATAGTTCATTTAGATCTCGAAGCTTATTTCTGAATAACTTAATACTTCATACTGACTTTCTAACCGCTACCCACTCCACAAGATTTTCTTACACTTGAACACCAAACACAAAACAACAGTCGGAAAGTATCAAAAGAACCTTAGTTTCAAGGTTGGTCCAGGTACAGGTTTATGGTGACATAATCAGTAATTATTTAGGCAGGATAAAACACATCACAAATCGTGTTCTGGAATCCTCGCGAATGTTCCTATTGAACGTCGGAAGGACAAAGTGTGTTGAGACGTTTACCAGCTTCTAAGGGAGTTTCCGAGGAACTACTGAGGTTTTCCAATAAACACAATCGAGAAAAATCACATTAGCTTGTAACATCTAAAGGAATAACACGGTATCCAACATGTAACAGAGATAAGTAGAAAATCAATCTTTATTCTGATCCAACCCGAAATTCCAAAGGCAAACACAATTATTATTAGTAAGCAACATGAAAACAACTTAAAAAACACTAGTGATAATATTCAAAATGAGTAGATGAATTGTTTTCACGAAACACTAAGCCACAAAAAATATCCAAGACATATATAATTACTTGATCCTCAAGACCTAGGGTAACTGGATTAATATCAAATTACTTGACTTTGTTTACTATTGGCAGTAACGGGTATAAATTTGTCGACACAGTTTGATTGTTAAAATCATGATATGAAATTATTCAATTTCGTTGATTTTTAACTGTCCATGACAGTGAATTCACCATAATTTTACATTCACTCAAAGATATCATACGAAAAACAATCAGAAGGTCTGAGTAATGAACTAAGCGAATGGAACTTGTTTTAATTTACACGTTATCCGCTCATCTATAAACAAAAGTGTGGAAGAAAATGAATATTGTTGGAATCAATACACAGTTTGTACTATTGGCCACCCAATAATTTGAATATTCAATACACTGGAAACTTAGAAAATTGGTAGATTTTCAGTCCATTATGAAGCACACAGAAGTAACTATTCAACTATTTTATTTATACGATGTACAACTCATCAAATAATTCACCTTGCGAACTTGGTATAAGTTTGCATTGTTTTCAAATATATACACAGCGAAAAAAACAAAGTATTAAAATATTTCCCAGAAAAAATATATATTTCAAAAACACTGCAACAGTATGAGGTGGGTGTCAGTGAAATCATGGAGGCTATTTTAAGCGGAGTGGATAACAACCACATTTATTGTAGTCTATACACTTTAATACAGGTCAAAATGCTAGTCGGCGAAATCGTGGAATAAAGTAATATTACCATTTGGACTTAGACCTATTTAAGGTTCGTTCAGTCCTATTCAAATGAACTCCATCCCCTTTTCTTTCTAAGCAAATCGGCAAGTAAACCGCTCAAAGAAGTTATTGAAACTATATCGGAAGAGTTACATTCGATCGGTAACATGCTCAGCGAAAGAAACTACCGAAAAAGGGAATACATTCTTTAATTCAAGGATATTTTTAATAACTACACCTACTTCTTCTTCTTTTTATAACGTCAGGTAACTCTTGATTTTGAAAACAATGAAATTACAAGTTCACTCAGTCAAACTACTAGTGATATATAGAAAAATCTTTCAGAAAACATTAGACTTCAGAGTAAACTAGTTCTATGATAACTAAAAAATACTAATGGACTGTGCTATGCCACACAGAGTTTCAACCTGTAACACACTAGTTTGAAATTCTAGCTGAACAACTTGTTTACATTATATGAACAGTATTGGTGTTTACAAGGAGTACAGTTATGACACAATCATATTGATAGTAAACTGTGATTTACTGACTTATACCTTTTACATCACTCCCCCTTATCTCCGACCCATAAAACCAAATAACATCATCTGCCATCAGTAACATCCGTAATCAGTAGCCTACCAGAAAAGTCTGAATTTCGTTATTTGGAGAAAATTTATTTAGCTGACGACATTAAGATAACTACATCAAACAGTCAACCATAAACAATGTAGCACATCAAGCACAAATATGAATCGACTCAACTTTACACACCACAACGACACAGAAAGATTAAATTATCAAGGTGAATACCGAAGTGGTAGTAACATCAGTGGTAGTAAAAAATAATAGGTATACACAATACGATTCGAAAATAATTGGGGAACTCGTACAATAAAAGTGAAATAACAAAACTCCCAAGCTTGGTAGGAAATAATATCTTATTTATGTGAAGTACTAATACTTTCTAACCGATGAGACAGATTTAGCTTAACTGGTCATTAATTCAAGACCCCGGAGATAAATATAGCAAGGACATCATATGTCGTGCTTTCCAACCTATTTATTTATTTAAACATATAAACATTGGTACAAGGAGGCACCAAACAGATATGCGCCACAAATCATCATTGGATTTGCGTGTGAGGGCCGGGATACAGCCCGGGTGCAGGTGGTTTTCTTAAGGGGGCAAATCCCGAGTCTTTGACCTAAAGGTCTAATCCACAAGGTAGTGGAGCAACGTCAGGAGATGCAGTCCCATGGTAGCCGGTGGCCAACCATCGGCTCATATGCCATTCGTTCCATAAGGATACTTTAGCCCATGTGCACCATTGGTTTGGAATCAGGGTTTTCTAAGTCCTCTAGATAGACTCTCAGTGTCCACCAACCAAGTTAAGGCTCCGGACATTTGCTTTTCGTCCTCTCAATTTCGTAAACAGCACCCGCGCCGCGAGAACGCAGTGAGTAGGACTTCCCTGGTGGTGGTTGTATGCACGTGGCCACTTGGGAGCATTTCGAGAGGGAGTGTTGACTCTCTTCACTCTCGGCCTCACCAGCGTATTTGGAGGCATTCCAATCCATCAAACCCTTTATCGTAAGGAGATTCACAAACTTAAATGGATTCATTCTTAAAGGTACACACAAACGGTCAAAATAGTCACTCATATTAAACTCTAGAAAGGCAGGTCAGAAATAATAATAAGCTGAAAGCAGCGAGAAAAGTCTTACTTTATCAAAACAAGCTACATTGATTACTCCACAAACACTGATCACGGTTGGATTGACACAAAATATTCCATGCGATAGTAAGCGTCGTTGAGCCAGAACAACTCCTACTGTCATCACAACAGGTAAGGCTGGTGGTATCACCACAGTAACTAAATCTAACGCTCGACGGATAATGTCATCAACACCAACATTAGCTCTGATCTAAAACAGCAATTTCAATAATTTGAATAAAAAACAGAACAAACTAATTATGTCCAGTTAGAGCAAACGAAATATTACCCATTAAAAAGCTTCACTCGATGATGCGTGTTAAAATCCGATTTCCAAATCATGTGTCTAATAGCACGACAGACATCATTATTTATACTTATGATGCTCTTCAGATAATTAGTGAATATGCATGAAGACAAGTGGAAAAGTTTGACTTTAGTGTAGAAGGCACGTGTACGTAACCAGTAGTTGATTGTAGGTGTCTTTGAGGTTTTGTTTGTATGTGGTAGAACGTTAACTGGAAATCGCTTACGTTAAACGTAGAGGAATTGGTAGAGCTAGTAAAATGGTTTAGGCTGTGAATTTTCACAAGAGTTATTTATTTAGGAGACGGTTTACGTGTTCCCAGCAATTGCCTACCTCGCTGTACATTACTGAATGGTAAAGCGGTGGTTTCGAACAAGGCTTAGGGTCACCCAAAGAAAATACGACATTGATCTGGGTCGTTTCAGGAGTTTTAGTCTTCTAGTTATGCATCCATGTGAAAATAGTAATCTCTAGTTGAAGAGCAATTGGTTAAAATTCTCAATTGAATATACATTCTTTCTCTATCTTAGTAGGGATACCTCAAGTTACCTGGTTTTTATCAGTAAATGTCGAATTCTTTCATGTTACAGTAACCGCAAGGAAGCTTCTAATTTTTACTTCTACACGATCATTGCTGTTCTTTGACTAATCACCACCACTCTAAGTTTACTTATTTTCCTGTGTCTGAAGGCCATGTCGTGTTGTTATATTCATCACACAATTCCAATCTAGATTTGAATTCGTTAAATACCAGGCATTTTTCCCACCTGTGTTTTTCCTTTAGCATTCATGTTTTTCGTTTCCCTTCAGGATTCCAAGTTAGTGCTTGGCTCGTGATGCACTTTGATAGTTTCTTCAATATGTGTCCTATCCACTCGCAGTCTTTTCCTAATTTCCTCCTCAAATGAAAGTTGGTTTGTTTTCTGATACAGTAGGCTGTTGTCGATGGTATCCGGTCAACGGACATTGAGTATCTTATGTGGACAATTGTTTATAAATACTTGTATATTTTTCATTATGGTTGTGGTAGTTCTGCACGTTTCAGCTCCATACAATACAACTGTCTTAATGTTTGTATTGAAGATTCTGGCTTTGATATTGGTTGGCAGTTGCTTTGAGTTCCAGATGTTTTTCAGCTCTAGAAATGCTAACCTTACTTTGGCAATCATTTCCTTCACATCTGCATTAGATCTTCCTTGCTTACCAATCATGCTGGCCAGGTACGTATACATTTCCACCTGTTAAAGAGCTTCTCCATCAAATGTGATTTGGTTGCTGCACTCTGTGTTGTATTTCAGGATCTTACTTCTTCCCTTGTGTATGTTGAGGCCTACTGAAGCAGAGACTGCTGCTACACTGACTGTTCTCACCTGCATTTGTCACTGTGTATGTGATAGAAGGGCTAGGTCATCTGCGAAGTCCAAATCGTCTAAATGTACACAAGCTGTCCATCGTATTCCATGCTTACCCTGAGATATGTAGGTCTTTATAATCCGGTCGGCCGCCATAAGAAGGAGGAAGGGCGAAAGTAACCAGTCCCATCTGACTCCGGTCCTCACTTGAAATGCGTCTGTCAGCTGTCCTCCATGCACAACATTGCAGTGTAGTCCGTCGTATGAATTCCGGATGATGTTGACGGTCTCCTCGGGTGCACCATAAAGGGGAATCAAGTTCCATAAGGTTCCCTATCCACACTGTCAAACGATTTCTCATAGTCAAGGAAGTTGATTTACAGTGACGAGTTCCACTCAATTGATTTCTCAACAATAATATAAACTGTAGCGATTTGGTCTGTGCACAACCAATCTTTATGGAATCCAGCCTGTTGTTCTCGAAGTTGGGCGTCTACTGAGTCATTTATCCGGTTCAGCAACAGTCTGTTGAGAACCTCTCTTGGAACCTCTATTGTCAGGTCTTGCCGCTTTCTCACTCTTGGTTTGTCTGATGACCATGCTGATTTCTTCGATTGTTGGTGAAGCGACAGCTATAAGAGGGTCTGTGTGTGCTGCTTCCACGTCCGGTAGGCCCAGTGGGGCCGGTCTATTCAAGAGTTCTTCAATGTGTTCTACCTATGTTTTCCTTTGCTCTTGAATATCAATGGTTGGCTTGCCTTATTTGTCCCTGACTAGTCGCTCTGGTTTATTAAATTTCCCTTCAATTTTATTAATTGTGTGCTTCTTTGATCTCTTTCCAGTTGTCCTCCATAGTAGTTTCCTCTTTGCCAGCAGATCTTGTAAGGCCTAGAACCTGTTGTTGAGGGTTATTTTGAATTCGTTGAGTTTGTCAGTATGTAAAAGAAATTTGTATCAAACCTTTGTAGTGTTATTCTTCAACTGTTCAATGCTTCTTAAACTTTAATTCCATCTTGGCAACCACCAGATGGTGATCTGAAGTTATGTCAGCTCATCTCTTGGTTTTCATGTTTTCCATTGAGCTTCCGAATATTTTAATGATGCAAATATGATCGATCTGGTTCTCTGTAGTGTGACCCGGTGAGAGCCATGCAGCTTTGTGTATGGCTTTGTGGGCTAATATAGTGCTCCCGACCATCATTCTGTTGAAGACACATAAATTTGCAAATCTCTCGCCATACACGTTCCTTGCTCCCAGTCCATGTTGTCTCATGATATTTTCGTATCCGATGTTGTCCATTCCGACCCTCGCGTTTAGGTTATCCACCAGGATGGTCAGGTCCGTTCCTGGTCACTTCTCTACGAATGACTCCAGCCTCTTAGAAAACTGATCTCTATCGCCGTTTTCGCTTTCACCGATGGGCATATAACACTGGATAACCTTCACTGTGATCCCCTCCTTCTTCATTTTCAAAAATGTTCTGATGATGCCAGACCCGTGAGAATCCTATCATATAAGTGTTTTTTGTGCCTCTTCGGACAGCACCAGTGCAACTTCTTGTGTGTGCGAAACATTTTCTTCTTGATGACTAGAGTAAAACAGCATCCCTCACGGATCTATCCTTTTTTATCCAGCTTGCGTCTAATGGGTTTCACTTATTCCGAGAACCGCCAATTTGCATCTCCTCATTTCCGCAGCTATTTGACTGGGTCTCCCAGTCTCTCATATTGTCCGGACATTCCATGTACCGATAGTGATTGTTGCTCTGGTTGTCAGAAGAGGCATCAGACTAGTGATTTTCGAAGAATTTCGGTTTTCATCATGAGGCGTCGTGATTCTTCTAAATGAAGATCCTATAACTCCCAGGGAAGAGTTTGTATGGTTTAAATGATTAATAACAAACATATATTTGTTATATCCCAATAAGTAGAGAAATTGTATTTCTGACTTAATTTGGCTTATATCAAGTCGCAAAACGTCAGAAATACAATTATTCTACTCATTTGGAAATAACAGTATATATATATAACACTAACTCTCTACCCGATGCTCAATTTATTTGAAACTGTCAAGGTCTAAGTGATTATTTTGGTCAGCATTTTTTCGAAAAGATTGTTTTCTACCGGACGGAGTCGCTGACCACAAGGTTATTATTGTAAGGCCACTAAAGGTTGCCATCACAGTATAACTACCTGAACGTATGTACACGTAGATATTTATGATAATCAAATGAAATCATAACATTCAAAGAACCAAAATTGATTCATCCGCCGATCGAACATTTGCTCAATAATAAGTGCAAGATAGTGACGGGCGCATGTTGTCAGTTAAGATTCGTTTTAACTTCTTGAGCATATATACGTATGCAATTGGTTGAAAATATAGCTTAATTTTCTGAGCATGTATGTATATTTATGAGTGGTGGATATTTTTTAGATTTCGTTAGCCAATAAAAGTTCCCGACTCACTTATAGTACGTGCGTATATTAATATCAGACTCGGTTGACAGCAGACCATAGCAAAAATGATTAACTTAAAGAGTATCTCCTAGACTAGATGCTTCCATTTATATAGCCGTTCATTAGACGGGTGGTTCAATGAAGGAGTTGGCTGTCATGCTACATGTAATCAACAAAATTCACTGAGTATAATATCCTGTGATTAGAGGCTTCCTCGATATTCATTTGTTAGCCAGAGAAAAACAATCAGCTGTGTATTAAGTGAGCACTGTACATTCTATAGATAGGAATGTAAAACTACAAATCGTAACCTAAGAAGCAATTACATCAAGAATGAACATGATGAATAATTACCAAATGAGATCAAACAACATTCAGAGAGCACGATTGTGAGATAGTAATTATATCAGTATTCCAATCTATTCTTTTAACGTGAGAAGATTGATAACCAAATGGCTCACACAATCATCGACAGCTCTGGGTTTTTACAAGGTGGTTAAGTTGATTATTTCCATGAACACGTGTCTTGCACACCAAGTAAAATGGATCAGATATAAAATGCATCGAAATTTGAGGATGTTACAGAAAACTACTATCAGTCGGTCAGTCATGTGCAACGTGAAACCTTACACATAGGTGCATCAGTTCAAGTTGACATACCACATTAACACAACACGATAAAATTATCAAGACAAATCCCAGTGTAGTAGAAGCAGAAACAGTACTGGTAGTAGTGGAAAGCACTCGAGGTATAGAAAAAGAAAAAGGAAAGTATAACGAGATTACGGAATTCTGGTTCTGTGGGGAGAATGTACCTACACCTGATTATTTATTTTAACACATAGATATTGGTACAATGAGACACCAAATACATATAGACCACACAAATCTCATTTGATATGTGTGAGGGCTGTGATACTGCCCGGGTGCCTAAACCGAAGCAGGTGGTTTTCTTAGGGGGCCACAGCCGGAGCCTTCAACCTGAAGGTCTGATCCACAAGGCAGTGGAGCAACGTCAGGAGGTGCAGTCTTATGGTAGCCGATGACCAGCGATTGGTTCATACGCCATTTGTTGCTTCAGGAAACTGGAGCCGATGTGTACCACTGCTTTGGAATCAGGGTTTTCCAACTCCCTTAGGTGGACTCTCTATTTCCAACAACCCGGTTAAAGCGCCGGACATTAACTTTTCGTCCTCTCAATTTCGTAAACAACACCTCCGCCACGAGAAGGCAGTGAGTAGGACTTCCCTGGCATAGGCTATATACGCGTGGCCATGTTAGAGCATTTCGAGAGGGAGAGCGGACTCTCCCTACTCTCGGCCGTACCAGGACATTTGAGGGCACACCTGAGCCATATCACCTAGTCTCCCAATATTTGTGACAACAATCACGTGAACCCTAAGATCTAGTCAGACACCAGACCATCAAGGCTGATGAGAATTTCAAGAAAAATGAACTGCTCAATGCATTAAAATGCTCAACTCCTTACAATCAGTTGAAGCGTTGACACGAGAAAGTTATGAGTCAGTATTTCGTATTCAAATAAAGGGAATCGTATCCGTAACATGTTTGAATTGTTGCTCAAGGAGGTCACAAGACTCTGAATTTTGTCACCATATTCACCAAACAGGACTTTATCATCTTAATATATAATCAATAAAACTAGAGACTTTATTATAATAGGTTATCCACGTTCTCCAAAGGATAGTGTCGTAGAAGCGATTCAATTACATGGCTACCATAGTCAATACACGATAGGTTAAACTTTACATAATCAAACAGAAAATATATTTAAACCACAAATTAAATCCCCAACTGAGCAAATTGTATTGTAAAGGTGGACGAGATAAGGAATGAATGGTGGAAAAGCATCAGTAACCAAATGACAGGTGAAAACAACTATACATTCTGCACAAAAACATCCCTTCTTACCATTAAGTAGATTGAAACTCCCAAACCAATAACAGCAAGAATAGACAAAGCAAAAATAAACCGGAGGGAATCTTGGGTGAATTTGAATTTTAGAGGTTTCGGAAACAGAATTGACCGTACAAGCTCACCCTTGACAGTGTAAAAGCCAGTGCGTGCAACAACAGCCAGAACTCGCTCATCTGCATAATTTCTTGTTTGAATAACAGTAGTACCAGCAAATAAAATATGCCGACCATGAACTTTGATATCGAATAACGTACCTTTTGATGGTGAATCGGGTAAGGGAATTTTGGTAACTGGAACACTTTCACCTTAATTAGGAAACAATATTATTTGAAAATACATCGGGGTTAGTATGGCCTTAAACACAAAGTCCAAAGTGAAAATCAATATGATCCAGTGAATTTCGAGTAATTAGAACACCTAAGTATTCATAACAACTGATATAGTCGGTTTTTCAAATTAGCACTTCGTGTCAACTCTCTGAACATGAAACATTATTTGTGTAGACAACACAAAAAACAAGAAAACAGTCTGTGAACAAGCACAGTATCTTATCACTGTGTCTCACTGTACTAAACTGTTTAAATGATGAGGAAGTGGAGTGCAAATGGGAAATCATGTCTAGGCTTTTTGATCATATTTGTTACTCGGATGAGGGTACTTCTTGCTTATTTGTAGTAACGGAAATAAACTGAGTTCGCACCACAAAATACATGTGTGTAATCCCAGAATCCAGCCATTCAAATACAGTTGCTCTTAAACCCAACACGGAAATCAACTTAACAATATGAAGTTTTACTCAAGCTCAAAAATATACAATATAATTGATACTCCACGCACCCAATACAGGAAACCATATCATTGAATTTTGTTTACTTCAGTGAAATCTCTTGAAGACTCTACACACTTTGAGTTCTCCTTTAAAAAACTCTGTCTTAAGCTTATAGAGTAGAAATTTTATCATTGGAAAAGTCGTCTACAAATGACATTAATTTCTAATACAATGTTATTCACCACATTACTGTAAGATAAAATAATGGTGGCTACTTCCAGACAAAGTTATTGATGAACATCTCCAAAGTTTCACACCAACCACAAACAGAGCAAAAACGATCTCGCCGTCATGCAAAAAACTACACTCATCTTTCCATTTTCATGCATAGATTACACTGCTTATTTTGTCACATAGTAGTTCATGTAAAACAAAAACATCGTCAGTGGTCAGTGAGACCTATTTCCTCTCGAACGACTTTAGTGACGATATATCCTAGTTCTGTAACAATATTTCCCAGTCCACAAAAATAAACACTATACAGATTATACATTTTGACGTTGGTACTCTAAATAATTCATATCGTATCATTATCAACATCTGTAGTGTGACGACCCACAAACAGAGAGTGCTTTAAGGGATCGATAGGGAACCAACGAACAAGAGGTTACTGCACTCGGTTCGTAATCATAAGGTCACAGGTCTAAATCACATTTCAGTGTGGCCAGTCCCGAAAAACCAATACACCTCACAAAAACACCAAAACTTAAGGTCGAGTAGTATGTGGATCTGTACTTTCTAAATAAGGAACACTATTATCATTGTGATCATTATAATTATTATTATGGAGTGCTTGAGGAGAATTATGTAAAACCAAAATATATGGAATAAACGATTAAAAGGGATAAAAGAACATAATTTTTTACAGAAATCTTCATATGCATTTGTGTATTCACATAAAATTTATCGGACTCAAAAGATTGAGTTAAGAATATGGTTGACATTACCTCACATATTAATGAATCCATATCTACAGTAACATTATACTAATGTGACTCACCGGTCAATGTACTTTCATTTACTATGCAGTTTCCCGCTAGTAAGATGGCATCACATTGAACCAGACACCCGTTTTGTGGAATTTCAATTATATCACCGGGAACTAATGAAATGGAATCCACTTCTTTGAATTCTGTGAAAATAATTATTTATAAGACAGTCCTTCTCAAATATTAATAAACAAATGGATTATTATGTCTGAATATCTACTGTTAAGGGAATTAAAATAATCAGTTTGGTGGATTGAAAGAACGGTTGGACCAAACCATACAATCACTAAGCAGAAATGGATGGTGGCTAGCAGTGGAATCCAGAAAGCGGCTATGTGGACTCAGTAGCTAGGTGGATAACGCGATGGCGTTTGAAGCGAACAGCACTGGGTTCGAGTCCCGGAGTGAACGTAGTCTCTGGGAAACAATTACGTACAACTCACATGTCACAAATAGGGCGAAACGCACGCACAGGATTCCACCGCTAGCCACCATCCATCTCTACTTCTGATGCTTGTGATGTAAGTCAATATCGAGGCGATCAGCAAGGGTCGCACAATTACAGTCCGAAATATCAATGGGGATTCAAATAACCGATACAAAAATAAACCATGCGATTTTTTTCAAATAGATCTCATTGATAGTGTTAATAATTCAAATTTAGGAAGACTAACAGTTAAAATTCCCCATCAAATACCAGAATATGCGTATCGTGGACGGCCTATTATTTTTGCCAAAAAGAAAACTGCTTGATAAATGACTTAGAAAAATTTCGAGGTCAGATTTTACGGAGGTTTATGTTGAGAGTTTGTCCACCGTTATCCCTAACTTGCTAACTCGCAAAAATACACCATTTATATCTTACAAGGAAAGTTACTACACAACTGGTCCGCTATGTTATAAACGTAATTCGGTTTAACTAAATCATATTCATCAGTACAAACGAATACATTATTATGAAAATTGGTAGAATATGAAACGCATTTAAAAGTATGCAAAATATGCAAACACATATTATAGACACCTAATTTTCGCAGTGATAATTCCTTTTAAGTAATGGACGGAACTGTTAAACCCTGGACAACAGACGTGCTTTTTTACGATCAGTAAGTCACACTGATTAGCTAACTTAAAAACGTCACTAGATTTGTGATTGAGTATGGGAGATTGCCTTAACATGAAACAGGTAAAGAACCTAGTCAGTTTCATATCAATATCAGGTGATAAAGGTCTTATAGTGTAACTCTTTTATCCTATGACTTTACTTCGATCACAGAATGGGATACTATCACAATGTTCATCTAACGTAAATGCGCTTCAACTGAATATGTATTATCCCCACCTCCCAATATCTCTTGACCTAGCCCTCAAACTACGGAGAAATTAAAACAAAGTTGAAAGACTATTTCTTTCTCCAACCGACAAAAAAACATGAGAAAGTGAGTGAATGTCTATGCATCTAAAAATCATAGATAATCAACCATTTAGTTTGAAAATCTGAAGATACATAGGCGACCTAAAAATTATTAATGACGATAAATACCAAGTATACTTTTGGCTGATTTAGGTCGACTTTTTTGCGATGCGATACATTTTCCAACGATCTATCAACTACAGGCTTTCATATTCGGTTTTAAGGTACATATTTTATGTAGGAGCAAAGATACCAGATGACCACTTGGACGAAAATACTCTGAGGGCGGTTCGCACCAATTCAGTCATTGAAAGTCGAATCCTCCAACCACTAGGCTACCGCACAATAACGTTAGCAACCAGAAATCATGAGTCGCAACAACCAAACGAACAGAATCTAAGTGTAGTGAACGAGAACACCAGTGCGGAAAACCAAATGTATTTCAGCACAAAATCACAGAATCTCTTAGTAAAATCTGACAACCATACAGTAAATACTTTATTTACAAAATGTCAATCAATTGTCTCAAACTTGACTGTTCCTTCTGCAAATGTTACTCAATCGTCTCAGACTTCACTGTTCTTTCGATTCCACACGAATCATCCTCCGTTTTCTTTCTCTTTCCTTCAATCTTCTTAACATTCTGCCTCCAGGCATTTCACTTTCGATTGATGACACATACTACTTATATCTGTCGACGTCAGTAGCACATACCACACAAGTAGTCATTATACAAGTCATGAAAAGGATTACAGAAAAATTTGTGCATACCTTTAATCCCATCTTCTTCTCGATAAACGATTACAGAAGAGGATATACACATAGTTTCTTTAAGAGTCTTTTCGTTCTACAAAAAAAGCGTTTTGTTACAAATGGGGAAACGCAAGTATGCAAATACAGCATTATTAGCATTGCTTCAAAACATTCAAATACAAAATTTTCACTGAGGAATTATACAACGTTCTATTAATTCACGATTCAATGGTGCCATGTGTGGATTTGTCACACGATACTGACTAAGAAAATTCACTGGATCTAAGGAAACGAAGGAAGAAACTGTTATTTGATAGTTACTATACACACATACGTCCTGTCCTATAAATGGTATTAGTTTAAATTAGAACATTTCAGTGTTTTACAGATTCACATGCAGTTTGACGATTTGCGTAGCGCATGTCCTATCCATTTCCATCGTCTTTTCCTAATTTCCTCTTCAGCTCGAAGCTGGGTTGTTCTTCCCCACAGAAGGCTGTCGCTGACGGTATCCGGCCAATGGATGTCGAGTATCTTGCATAGACAACTATTTACAAATACTTGTACCTTCTTGATGGTGTTTGTTGTAGTTCTCCAAGTTTCAGCTCCGAATAGTAGAACTGCCTTGACATTCGCATTGACGATTCTGACTTTGGTATTGGTTGAAAGTTGTTTTCAGTTCCATATGTTCTTCAATTGAAGGAGTACGGCCCTTGCTTTGCCAATCCTCGCCTTTACGAATGCATCTGATCCTCCTTGTTCATCGATGATGCTTCCCAGGTATGTGGATGATTCCACATTTTCCAGAGTTCCACCATCAAGAGTGATTAAGTTGGTGTTCTCCTTGTTGTATTTGAGAACCTTGGTTTTTCCCTTGTGTATTTTGAGGCCTACTGATGCAGAGACTAATTAAAACAACTGCTCCGATTAAATCAAACTTACTTTTATTAGGCAGGTATAAAACTATAATAATAAACCTAACATAGATCGATGCCTAACGTTTTTGACTCACTCGACATTTACTGACTCTCAGATATCATTTCATGTGGATAGGTTATACTACTACTAGGTTACACTATTAAAACTAATCGTTTCACACTTTTGTATTCAGAAGGGAAGAGAATGACAAAATTGGTCACGTAGTCAGCTGGTCTTTCTTTTCGACTGCACGTTAATTGAAAAATTTAAATGGAGATAACAAAGCAGCTGACTAGCTATCTCATTCGCACCGCTTGACACTATCAATCCATCATTGTATTACGTTCCTTTGACAATTAAATCATGCAAACAAACAGCCGAAACTTCCCAATAAGTAAGAAAAATCGAAGTGCTCAGCCCCAAACCACACTTATTAAATAATTTAATGATACTGCTTTTCTATCTAAACTACAGTAAATAAGATCGGTGAACCAGTAACGTCCTGATAATCAAAGCATTCTGTAAATTATTGGACCAGTACATCAAAACAAGACCATCACTTATTAAAAACCGTTAGAATAAGAAAGTAGTTACTTACTCTACGTAGTTCATAAACTTGCCATGATAGTGACATAATTGAAATAACAACAATACAAGTAGCGTACATCCAGTACTCATCAGAATACCACAAAATACAACTGAATATTTGGAAACAGTAGAATGGATTCAAGCACTACATAAAACAAAGTATAGAAAAACTAAATGTCATATACAAAGCATAACAACTACGTATCCAGTACCCATAACCAAATCAACCTTCAAATTGTACAAAATTATTCAATGCGTAATCTGACCAACATACCACATCAAGTAGTAGCCTGACAATTGAAGTAAGATTGATACTTATTTCATTCATTCCATACAACGCACGATTCATAAGGACTGTTTCGTTATTCAAAGGCTTAGAATCCAGAATTTCTTCATATGTAGTTTCATGCCAGCCCCTAAAATTCGAAAGAAACAAAATATTCTTTTCAAATTCCATTGCACCTAATAAACCCAATATAACAGAAAATACTTTGACAACTTCTACACTGTGTTTATATATTAGAATATTCCTACTAGCTTCTTTCTATGCCAGTACCTATGAAGAGTTAACAGAGGTAAGTCAAATTTAAAGGTTAAATTTCCAGGGACTAAATTTCGTCCTTATGCACAATTGTAACTGTTCAAAACGAAGTGTAAGGAGTTGTCAACAACTGCCATAATGTTCAACACGTGACAGAAAATTCTATGACAAAATGAGTAAGTGGGCTAATACTAGGCAGTGAAGTATCTTTTGAAATGAAACCACAAGGAGTACTTGGTTAAGACCCAATCAATGACGATATTTTCCAAAAGCTTACGTAGGAACTAAACATTTCACTAAGAAATGTTCACTATTTAAAATTTAAAAACTCGAAGGTAAATAAACTAAAAAAAACATAGGGACTACCTTACATGTGCATCGATTTATGATGCCACAATTCACATTTACTTAAGATTTTGTTAACCGGATAGTATCATTAGTCCTCCCATCTAGAATGTGCCCCATATCCAAATACCTAGTGAATGAGTCAGTTTGTATTATTTTATCTAAGAGATCTACATGAAGATGCTTCTGTTTACAATCGGGCCTACGGAAATTTCCAAGTACGAACGATAGACTATTCTAGTATGAACGGGAACTAATGAGAACTTGACAGTACGACCGATAACCCCTCGACAATTATCCTCAAACGAGGAAACCTAGAAAGAACACGTGAGTGGAGAAAATGCCTGGTATTTAACGAATTCAAATTTAAATTGGAACTGTGTGATTGTCATGGTCCGAATCCGCCAATCCGAAGCAGCGAATTATCGGTCGGACCAAGGACGCGGAAAACACGTGCGAGCAGCCTAGAGTCCTGATTGGTCCTGCTTTCCGCCTAGCCCAGCCAGTTAAGTCCAGAACACCAGTGTCAGCCTCTGCAATATGAATCATTATATTTCATATGCCAATCAAACAGACCACAACGTAGCATAAGATAGAAAATAACATTTGTACAAAATTTGGCCAAATGTGGCTGTGAATGTGTGAGGCAGTGACTAATAGATAGGGCATAATTCAAGAGTGCTAAAACGTATAATAATTGTTCATAGGTCAAAATAAAGCTTATAATAAGAGGAACATGAATACCAATAGTTTATTTATTTAACAATTATACGATAAAAATAAACGTTTAGTATTGGTCCATAAAACGATTCCAAAATTACCATTCATTATGTTTATCGGGACCTAACAGTGATGAATATAACAACACGACATGGCCTTCAGACACAGGAAAATAAGTAAACTTAGAGTGGTGGTGATTAGTCAAAGAACAGCAATGATCGTGTAGAAGTAAAAATTAGAAGCTTCCTTGCGGTTACTGTAACATGAAAGAATTCGACATTTACTGATAAAAACCAGGTAACTTGAGGTATCCCTACTAAGATAGAGAAAGAATGTATATTCAATTGAGAATTTTAACCAATTGCTCTTCAACTAGAGATTACTATTTTCACATGGATGCATAACTAGAAGACTAAAACTCCTGAAACGACCCAGATCAATGTCGTATTTTCTTTGGGTGACCCTAAGCCTAGTTCGAAACCACCGCCTTACCATTCAGTAATGTACAGCGAGGTAGGCAATTGCTGGGAACACGTAAACCGTCTCCTAAATAAATAACTCTTGTGAAAATTCACAGCCTAAACCATTTTACTAGCTCTACCAATTCCTCTACGTTTAACGTAAGCGATTTCCAGTTAACGTTCTACCACATACAAACAAAACCTCAAAGACACCTACAATCAACTACTGGTTACGTACACGTGCCTTCTACACTAAAGTCAAACTTTTCCACTTGTCTTCATGCATATTCACTAATTATCTGAAGAGCATCATAAGTATAAATAATGATGTCTGTCGTGCTATTAGACACATGATTTGGAAATCGGATTTTAACACGCAGCTTGTAGTGAAGCTTTAAAAGGAATAACGCTTTGTAAGCTTGAATCATTATCGATATGGGAGAAAGTTAAGCCGAATATGAAGAATTTACAGTATGAAGAAAACATAATCTGAAAAAGGATGTAGGTTGGCAATAATTAAGATAAATTTGAGGGCGTGATTCATAATACCCAGTCACTCATGTTGTGGAAGGATACGTAATCACCAGTCTGTACCTATTAACATGGTTAAGTCCACTGACATTTGAACCAGTCAAACATCATTTACAAAACAAGTTGTTCCTGGTGAGAAAAATGTTATACTGATAAAGATCTCTTGATATGCACTGGAAGTGATCAGATAGAGAATTCAAAACACGGTAACTATTCAGACAAGTGTTAACAAGACTCTAAAATAGCGAAACAATAATTATATTTATCGTTTTTTACCTGGAAAGCTCCCAATCCATGTTCTGTTTGAATGAGAATGCCCCAAATGCCTTGGTACGGCCGACGGTGGAGAAAGTCCGCTCTCCTCGAAACGCTCTCACATGGCTATGTGCTTACAACCACTGCCGGAGGAGTCCTATTCACTGCCTCCTCGTGGTGGGGTTGTCATTTATGTAATCGAGAGGGTGAAAAGCGAATGTCCTGCGCTATAGCCTGGTTGTAGACACGGAGGGTCAACCTAGGGGAATTGGAATACCTTAATTTCAAACCAATCGTTGACATGGGCTCCAGCGTCATGAAGAAACAAGTAGCGTATGAATCAATTGTTGATCACTAATAACCATTTAAGTGCATTTTCTTACGTTGCTCCACTATCTTGTGGATCGAACATTTAGGTCGAAAACTTCGGGTGTGGCCTCCCTAAGAAAACCACCTGCTTCGGTCTGGGCACCTTGGCAGTATCACAGCCCACTCAAAAACCAAGAGACTTGTGTGGCCCATATGTATTTGGTGGCCCTTCGTACCAATATTTATGCGTTCAAATGAAATAATAACAATAAGGATAAGTGCATAATGTATACTCAACAATATCTCTACTTAGTATTATATGACGTCTACACACCTTATTGACAGTCTCATAACTGTAAAGAACCAGAGAAATTACAAAATTAGAATTTGGAAGGAGTCGAAATAACTAAACACCTTATCATAAAAATAAATAAACAGTACTAATCGACAACCAAAATTTATTGTCATAAATAAACATTAAAAGATGGGCGTAAATCTCACCTTGGAAGCTCAAAGCGATTAGTCTTGCTGTCCCATACATACTTTACACATTTATGAACAAAGTAACACATCATCTTGCCCTCCTAAATAATAGAATTATTACGAATATTTACTAACTTTTTCAGAACATGACACTTGCGACAGCATGAACGAGGCAGTTTTTCGAACGTACAAGGGTTTAGCACAACTGATAAAATGAATGAGGAAGGCTATGTTATCCTTACTTTGCTGTTCCAATTATTTCAACAACCACGTCATGTATATAGCGAACACCGTGGACATCCTGCAAGAGAAATTTAATACGTAGTTTGTATTTTGTCCTAGGCTCATGAAGCCTAAAAAACGGGGACAAACAATTACTTTGACAAGTATCTTCTCGGCTTTTATTAAAGCACATTCCTTATTCATGCACATCAGCATCCAATGAGGGAACCAGTGAAAGACAAGTCTCAGCAGTCCACAGGTGAAAATGATGCCAATGTACATAAAGGTGGTTCGTATATATGATGTCGAATAACCTGTAACATCCTTGATTTGTAAACACAAAGAAATAAAGAAACATACCACCACATTATCGTCAAGTTCACTAATTTTTTGACGTTGATCTTCCGGAGTCCAATCTTCGGTGTTTTCGATCAGTGCAGGCATTTGAAAGTCGATTTATACGTCTTCTTACTGGCCTAATACTAAGGAACCACAAAACTAAAGGAGAAACAAGTGCGATGGAGCCGCAAGAAACGACTCATGTGATAATTACACCGTTACGCCCAAATACAAATTCTTATCATCAAAAGTGTCCAATGTACTCCAATATAATCCAAACCCAATAAATCAGAAATCTTCATGAAAACAACTGTTTTGTTATCCAGCACATGTCCAAGTGAAATTCCTAAACGTATATGTATTTACATATGAGAATAATACTGAAAGTATCGTTTTTCTAATCGTCCATAATGAGACTGCGAAGACTGATTTTCCTTGAGATCCAACAATTGGATTCGGTATCGTTCGTTTCAGCGGACTGAATTTTGCATATTTATCAGGATAGCTTTAGTTCGCCTGTCGCTTGGTCATGTTAGTCATATAAAAAGTCTGTCGTCACCTAACACCTTTACTTGATTAGTTGCCTTCATATGTATCATTTTGTAGCGGAAAATAGATCCAAAAAATAAACAGTCCTGTAGCTGTGTGACACTGATCCTGGACTCATTACCGTTACTAGATACATTCCTATTTAGAGACCCTCAGTTAAGCATTCACACCAAAACATCTTTGGGTACGCATCCGTTGCAACTACTATTCAGCTTACAGCAAACGCTTCCTGACATTCCGATAGATTTCCGAGTATATCTTCGAACCCCTTCATTCATGGCTTCTGATTTGACTGGGTTTCAACCCTTCAATTTTAAAAGCTTTACATGTAAAGGCGTTGTCAAACTCCGAATACCTGTGACATACTGAAATTCAACCTAAAGTTGTCCCACTTGATTTTTAAAAACCTCATATATTTCTGAGAAACTAAAGTCTTTACACAATTCGCAGTTGTTGATATTGCCGTTTAATTCCATACCTTCTAACAGTATGCTCAAATTTTTCTTCTCGTTAAAAGTGGAGAGATAGCTCTTTGAGTAAGTCTTTCACGAGCAACTGAGCCTGTAACTCTTCTGGAGTTACTGCTGGTCCCAAGCTCAGGTAAAGGATGAGGGTTGGGAATGGGGTTAGCGACCTCATCCTGTAGAAAACTAACTCTCTAAAAAACGCTAAACAAAAAAATAACCCAAACTATTTAAACTCTGCCCTGGGAGTTAGAAGGTTCTCATTTAGAAGAACTATGACGACTCATGGTGAAAGCCGAGTTCCTTCGGAAGTCACGAGGTCGATTCCTCTTCTAACAACCACAGCAACTATTTTTATAGGTACGTGGAACGTCCGGACAATGTTGGAGACGGGAAGACCAGTCAAATAGCAACTGAAATGAGGAGATACAATTTGTCGATTCTCGGAATGAGTGAAACCCATTGGACCTAAGCTGGACAACAATAGCTAGATAGGGGAGAGATGCTGCTGTGCTCTAGTTACGAAGAGGAAAATGCTACAAAAATTCGGGAAGTTGCTCTAATGCTGTCCAAAGAGGTACGAAATGCACTTGCAGAATGAGAATCTCACTGATCCAGAATCATCAAAACATCATTAAAAACAAAGGAGGGGATCATAATGAATATTATCCAACGTTATGCACCCGCCAATGATTGCAACGACGACATTAAATATAAATTCTATGAGAGTCTGCAATCAATCGTAGAGAAGTGCCCAAGAAAGGACCTCACCATTCTGATGGGAGATCTAAACGCCAAAGTTGGAACAGACAACACCGGATATGAAGATGTCATGGGACGACATGGACAGGGAAAGAGAAACCAAAATGGAGAAAGATTTGCAAATCTATGTGCATTCAACAAATTGGTCATAGGAGGCACAATATTTCCACACAAGCGTATACACAAAGCTACATGGATCTCACCGGACCACACTACAGAGAACCAAATCGATCATATTTGCATCAATAAAAAATTCCAAAGGACAATCGAAGATGTGAGAATCAGAAGAGGAGCTGATACAGCTTCAGATCACCACCTAGTTTTGGCCAATTTAAAACTGAAGCTTAAGAAAAACTGGACAACTGGGGAAAAAACATCACAAAAGCTTAATACAGCCTTCCCGTCGAGATATTGACAATCCCAACCAATTCAAGATAGCTCACAACAACAAGGTTCCAAGTCTTACAAGATCTACTCAAATAAGAAGAAACTACTATGGAGGACAACTGGAGAGGTATCAAAGAAGCATTAACTTCAACGTGTCAAGAGGTTCTGGGTCTAAAGAAACACCATCATAAGGAATGGATCTCTACAGAAACACTGGACAAGACCAAAGAAAGGAAGAACAAGAAAACAGCAATTAACAACAGCCGAACACGAGCAGAGAAAGTTCAAGCACAAGCTGAATACATGGAAGCAAACAAGCAAGTGAAGAAGAGCATTAGAGCCGACAAGAAGAAGTACGTGGAAGAACTAGCAACAACGGCGGAAAAAGCTGCAAGTGAAGGAAATATGAAACAACTTTACGATACAACGAAGAAACTAGCAGGGAAATACAGTAAATCAGAGAGACCGATCAAGGACAAAGAAGGCAGGCCAATCACTGAAATTCAACAACAGCGGAACAGATGGGTAGAATACTTCGAGGAACTCCTGAATAGGCCGGCTCCAATGAATCCACCGGACATCGAAGCAGCACACAGGTCTTCCCATGGATGTCGATCCACCAACGACGGAAGAAATCAGGATGGCCATCGGACAAATCAGGTGCCGGAAAGCAGCAGGACCCGACAATATACCAGCTGAAGTACTGAAGTCAGACATCGAAGTAACTAAAAACATGCTTCACCTTCTGTTCAAAAAGATTTGGGAGGAGGAACAAGTGCCGATGGACCGGAAAGAAAGACACCTCATCAAGGTTCCAAAGAAGAGAGATCTGAGCAAATGTGAAAATTAGAGCCATTACACTTTTGTCAATACCAGAAAAAGTCTTTAACAGAGTGTTGCTGAACCGGATGAAAGATACAGTAGACGCCCAACTTCGAGAACAACAAGCTGGATTCCGTAATGATCGGTCGTACACAGACTAAATTGCGACACCATGGATCATCGTCGAACAATCAGTTAAGTGGAACTTGTCACTGTACATCAACTTCATGACAGTGTAGATAGGAGAACGTTATGAAAACTTCTTCGACACTATGGAGTTTCTGAGAAGATTGTCAACATTACCGGAACTCATACGACGGACTACAATGCAATGTCGCACATGGAGGACAGCTGACAGATGCATTCCAAGTAAGGAACAGCGTCAAACAGGACTGGTTGCTTTCGCCTTTTCTCTTTCTTCTGGTGGTCGACTGGATTATGAAGGCCTCGACATGTGAGGGAAAACACGGCATACAATGGACAGCTCAGAACAAATTAGACGATTTGGACTTCGCAGATGACTTAGCCCTCCTACACATGAACGAATGCAGATAAAGACAGACAGTGTAGCAGAAATCTCTGCATCAGTAGGCCTCAAAATACACAAGGGAAAAACCAAGGTTCTCAAATACAACAAGGAGAACACCAACTTAATCACTCTTGATGGTGGAACTCTGGAAAATGTGGAATCATCCACATACCTGGGAAGCATCATCGATGAACAAGGAGGATCAGATGCATTCGTAAAGGCGAGGATTGGCAAAGCAAGGGCCGTACTCCTTCAATTGAAGAACATATGGAACTGAAAACAACTTTCAACCAATACCAAAGTCAGAATCGTCAATGCGAATGTCAAGGCAGTTCTACTATTCGGAGCTGAAACTTGGAGAACTACAACAAACACCATCAAGAAGGTACAAGTATTTGTAAATAGTTGTCTATGCAAGATACTCGACATCCATTGGCCGGATACCGTCAGCGACAGCCTTCTGTGGGGAAGAACAACCCAGCTTCGAGCTGAAGAGGAAATTAGGAAAAGACGATGGAAATGGATAGGACATGCGCTACGCAAATCGTCAAACTGAATCACGAGACAAGCCCTAACTTGGAATCCTGAAGGAAGGCGGAAAAGAGGAAGGCCAAAGAACACATTACGTCAGAAATAAAAGCAGATATGGAAAGGATGAATAACAACTGGAAAGAACTGGAGAGTATTGCCCATGACAGGTTTGGATGGCGAATGCTGGTGAGCGGCCTATACTCCTTCACGAGGAGTAATATGCGTAAGGAAGTAAGCTTTCACGAGCGTAATGGTTCCGACATTAGCTCGGAATTCATGACGTCGAGAGGATTCGGCGAATATGGTTCACCCATACAGCCTGTCACTGATGACTGACATTCGTTGAAGATTCGTACGTTTACTCTGGAAACCAAGGAGTTTTCCAAATGATGAAGTTTGTAAAATCTCATTCACAACATCTTTTTGTGATTGCTATTTTTCACTAACAATTCATTTTCGATGGCTGTTTGTTAATTATCAAAAACTGGCAGGAATTAAGGTGATTTTAAGAATCGCTAGGGCTCGTCTCTGCAATCAGCTCATATCACGCTTTTTCGATATCATTCGGATATCATTCCATCTGACTACTCCTGAAATTCCCATTCTTACCGACTTTTAGTTTTTATGGCTCTGATATTCATTTACTTTCTTGTTTTGTTTAGGTATTATATTCCTTAATATTCTGTATTAGTGGTTATTATTTTTGTGTTCCGTATTTACCATTGGAAGTCCTGTGCCAAATCAACCGGATGCAATCGACCACGTTCATGGCCTGAGCACACTTCTAAGAATATGAAAAGCGAACAACCCCTTTCTCCTGACGATTATGGAAAGGTGCCTAAAGAGACGTCTACATTATGATTTGGTGGAGACCAACACATTTTGCGTAAGAGTAGGTGTGCTCCTTGTTAACTGCTAGTCCAAACGTAATATCACATGAAAAACACTCGAAAGCCGCGTCAAACGGCTAGATGAAGATGTAGTGAACCTGCACCAAAGTAGGTGTTTTTTGGAGTTCGAACTTTGGAGTTTCTCGGACGTGAAATAAGCTTAAAAGGAAT